AACGTCAAAGTGAGAAGCATATCTATCATGTTGCCGTTTACCATCTACGACTGCGTTGCTTAATTCTTCCCTTTGCTTAAAATCAGTCTGGCCCCACATCGATATTTCTGTATCTCTCCGTTCCCTCCCCCAGGGGTATTTTCAGTTGGCCAATATTGGCCGCATCAGGTCTGTCTCTCTCTCTCTCTCTTTCTCTCTCTCTCTCTCAACCGTCGCTGTGGCTGCGCTTCTTGTTCTTGCCGGTCACGTGTCTCGTTGGCGGTTCCCCGATCCGGAACCGGCAGACGGCGGGGCCTCAGGGCAGGCGAGCTTGAAAGGAAAGGAGCACCAGGTGAGTGTTAACCGAAACGGGCATCAGAGGCGAGAGCGCCTCGGGCCCCCATGTGCTGGGCTCCTCACCGCATGCCTCGAATACCCCCCCCCCCCCCCCCCGCCCCAGGTGACCGTCCTTTTCATTTCCGGCAAGCGTCGTCAGCAGGGGGCAGCAGCATGAGGGCACCTTGTCTTCTCTGATAACGGCTCCATCCTCCCCCAGAAGATTTATTTCATGCGATAACAGCACGTGGTATCAAAGCTGATGCCTCAGAACTAGATAAAGTCAGATTTGCAGCAGGCTGAAGTCATCAATACTGAGAGTTTCGCCTTTCTTATCCTTCAGTATAGAAACGTATTTAAATTATATCTGCTGTATATTGACTGGCTTAGGTCACGTATCTGATTAATTATGGTTATTAGCATTTTTTTTGTCTGCAAGTCCCCCACCCCCACTTGAAGTGACCAGCTGAGGTAAAGACTTCCCCTCTGCGCTGTCACTCTGCGGGATGCAGCATTCGATGCGTCTGCACCCGTCCTGCCAAATCCGTGACCCGCCACGGAACCGCAGTCCTGCTTAGAAAGCAGGTTGCTTGGAAACTGATGTGACGGGTGAATTTGATTAAGGACTTTCGTTCATTACGGCCCGCAGGAATCCTGTAGAAAAGGGGCCCAGCTGTGCGTAAACAACCCGTCGCCCAGCTGAAATGTCCACCTGTTGGCGGATTTCCTGGCGGCCATGGATGGATCGCTCGCTATTAGCGTCCGCCTAGCCGTGGCACAGGGGTCTTCGCAATACACGTTTATGAAATTGCGGATGCTTGCGGCTGGGTACGAATCTGTCCGTCGCAAATTATCTCCATGACAACCCCCGCCCAGCGGAGTTAAGCATTTCAGAGGTATAGTATCTCTCTCTCTCTCAGCCTCCCACGACTCCTGCGAATCCGTATCTGCTCCTTCGGAATGGGGCCGTTTGTCACCTCGCGGTTCCTCCCATCCTGACCATCTGGCCGAGGGTGTGAAGCTGTCTCACGGTTGATGTGCCAGCCGTCGCCGGGGCGATAGCAGGCTGACAAGCTAAAGATTTGAGATGGGGGGGGGGCAGCTTCTCAGAGTACCTGATGGGACTTATTGATTAGCTGGGTCTGCGGTCACATTGCACATTGTGAGTTGTTATGCAGTATTGGTGTCCTGTGTCTCTGAAATACTTTAGTCTAATTTTGAGTGTATTTTCTGCCAATGCTGTCCTTTTTTTTCTACTTTCTTTTTTTTTTTTTTTTTAGAAGTCAGGACACGGCCTATGCCAGATGCTCATGGGATTTGTAGTTTTTTTTTTTTTAGTCCATGGGCAGGACTACATATTGACAAGTTGCTGACCCTCTTTGCAGAACCCCCTGGCGATGCAGCCATCATCTGCCAGTCCCTCTCCTTGCTGTGTCCCCTAGTCAGCGGTTCTGGCCCGGTTTCACTGGCGAGCGTGTGGCAGTTAGGGGCTGACGCCTCACTTGCCGCAGTCCTGTAGACATGTGTGTGCAGCGTCCCGCTGCGTCCTGCCCACTGCGTGTTCGTCCAAGTGATTTGTTGCGCGTTTATTTCAGTGCGCATGGGGGTGGCAGGTTGCTGCCAACACCAGTAGTATTTTATCTGCATGATTTGCACAAATCAGATTAAAATGTCCCCCCCGCCCCTATCCCCCAACACCAGATCATTGAATCGATGTTGAGCTGTGCTCAGATTTTGGATGAGATGTGAGGCGGCGCAGTAAATTAGCAGGAACCGGTTGAATCTGGTTGATCACTGTGGTGGTGAGCTGATACTTTAGGGTTGTTTTTGGGGCGAGGACTTTCTGGAGGTGGATGAGACTTGCGCTGAAGGCCGTCCACTAGCAATAGGTGAGTATCATGCTGTAAACGCCAGTTTGTCTTGGGACAGCATTAGCTTCCTGCTCTAAACCCTGCAGGATGGATTCCATTTTCATCCATCTTTATTCTGAGGTGACAGAGCTCCTCAAATCTGGGCTTGGGGTGGGGGGTGTGGCCTGTCTGTTGGGTGTGAAGTGATTTCCCCACCCCCAAAACTCCATTCTATGAGAACCTGAGGAAATCGGTACAAGGGATGCCCATGTGGCTCTGACCACGGCTCGAGGTGGCCAGTTGCGTGTTTGAGTAATGAGTCCAGTTCTCTCGCACGTCTAGCGAGCCCCACGGCCCTCACCCCGATGAGCCCAAGTGAATTAATGGTTCTGCTCCCCGAGTTTGAAGTTTTGGGTGCTGGGTGAATGGGAGGGCACGCAAACGAATTTGGCAAGCTTTTAGTGGATGTCGCCTGGCCCGGCTTCTGGCGGAGAGAAAAACGAATGACTCCCGGTGCCACACGGCCAATTAAAGTCGCCCAGTGGCCGCCTCCAGCCCATCTGGGAGGTGCCATGCTCGAGGATGGTCCTGATGAAGTGTGCCATAAACACACTGACCCTGCATACCTGCCTGAGCCTTTATTGTACTTTATTGTCGGTGTAATGAATGAGGAAGGGTATTGGGCCCTGGGTCACTCTGCCCTCTGCACATTTGTCCAGAACCTTGGCTGGTTGTCCAAGTGCTCTCACTGCTCTACACACCATTGACCACCATTTTTACTTCTCATCCCAATTGCTGCCGGTCCCTCATCCTATTTATTGCCTGCTCTGCTCCATGTGTGACTTGCCATAAACACAATTTTTTTTTAGGGGCAGCCGTTGGTAGCCGCCCCCCAGTTTTTTCCGTCTTTGCTGAAATTCCTGCTCTTTCCCGGTATCTCCCATCTATTCCCACCCTTCACTGCTGGCCCTGCAGTGTGTGTGTGTGTGTGTGTGTGTGTGTGTGTGTGTGTGTGTGTGTGTGTGTG